AAGAGTGAGAAATGGAACTGAGCACAAGCGAGCATGCGTGCATTTGTTTCTCTCTGCTCTTGACTGGATGTCATGTGACCTGCTTCAAGCTCCTGTAGAGCGGTCCTTGAGAAGACCATTGGGAGCCAACCTTGACGTCAAGTTGGTTTTGAAAAACAACATTATTGACATGGTTGACTTGAAAGAACCAGATTTTATAATTGATTATGCACTAAGTTGGTTGCACATTGCATTAGATGCCCAGGCAGACAAATAGATGTTGCTGCCAAGATTGAAGGATGATCAATGACAACCATAAATTTTTTAGCACTTAAAACTTACTTACTTATTTAAAAATCGACTAGTTTTTGGATTTATTTATTCTTTCCTTCGCTCATACATACATATATCTTTATCACAAAGGTATGTAAGAATCAGTTGGTGTCACTGTTTTTAAAGTAGATATCTGCATGTTTCAAGATGTAAAAGATTCAAAGTTTTATGTAGTAATGAGTAGTTTTCACTTCTACTCTTGTCCCAGGCACTCTGTTTTCACCCAAGAATAGCAGCCACTGATCATGGCTTTCATTTGATCTGTGATATTCTTTAGAAATGTTTTATGCTTATCATTTCTCTGCCCTTTGCCTAAGATCAAGTATAGAACTAATTCATACTTATAAATATATATCACCCATCCGTTTATCTATTTATCCATGCATGGATCCATTGACAGATACATCAACACACATATCTACCTTATCCTTCCACCCACCCACTCACCCATCCATCCATCTACCCACACACTCATCCATCCATTAACCCACTCATCTCTCCATCCATCCACCCGCTCACCAACTCATCAGTTCACCCACTCACCCCATCCACCCACCCACCCATCCATCCACCTGCTCACCAACTCATCAGTCCACCCACTCACCCCATCCATCCATCCACCCACACACTCATCCATCCATCCATCCATCCACTTACCAATTCACCCACCCATCCATCCATCCACCCACTCACCAACTCGTCAGTCCACCCACTCTCCCATCCACTCACCCACCCATCCATCTACCCGCTCACCAACTCATCAGTCCACCCACTCACCCCATCCACCCATCCACCCACCCGATCACCAACTCATCAGTCCACTCACTCACCCATCCATCCATCCATCCACCCACATACTCATCCATTGACCCTCCACATCCACCCATCCATCCATTTATTCACCTTTTCCACATCCATCCATTCATCCATTCTCCACAAATGTCCATTCACCCATTCATACTTCCTTATACCTATCTCTATTTTTTTCCCTGAGGACTCTCTAATTTGGTTTTAGACAGAATAACTTTGTTCCACTGGATTCCTTGGGAAAGAAACTTGAAACCATGTTCTTTCAAGTTGTGACATTTAAAAAGTGGGTGTACCTGTTCATATTTCATTCTGATCCAGATATATGGGCTCATGTTGGATTCCAAGGAATAAAAAGACATGAAAAATGAGCAAAGAGAGATTGAAAGTGAGAGTGACTATGAGGTACCAAGGGAAGGGAGGGTAGAGTTGAGCATCTTTGGATCCATATCCTCCCTTTCCCCCATTAAAAGTTGTATATTGAGGCTCTTTAAATACTTCTTTATATACTTTAAATACTTTATATACTCTATACTTTATATACTTTAAATACTTCTTTATATACTTTAAATACTGAGTCTCAACTTCTTTGTGTGAAATGGAGATAACCACATCTTCCCTTGATGGTTAAGGGCTAGCATGATGCCTAGATGCAGAAAGTGTTCCTATCATGATGACTTCTGTTTGATATGTTTTCTGTCAATGCAAAAGGCCATATCAGACCAGATTAGAAACAGATAAACACAGGTTTATTTGACTTAGCTCCTGGGCAGGTTCACAGGTCCTAAATAAGAGGGCCAGGGAAGTTGCACACAAGGGCTAAGATGGGAGGTTTTATAGATCCTAGGCAAAGGGTGATGATGTGCCAGCCAGGAGCTAGGACTGTGCCCAGGTATGGTCAAAGCTAAGGCCCTCAATGGGCCCTTGGGTGGGCTGGTCATGTCAGAAAGGCAGGTTGCATTGGCTGACAGAAATGTGGAACTGGGCCTTTGGTGCCATTCCTTGGTTCAGATTTTTTTTTTTTTTTCAGTGTAGGAGGGGTTGGAGGAAGTAGGGCAGATGGGGTTACCCAGCTTATACATGGGACATCAGGGGTTCCAACCAAACACTGTTAACCTTATTAAGTATGCATGATTCTCTGTTGTGTTTGCAAGTAACTGAGATCCTTCAGTTAATGTCCAGACACAGTGTAACACAGAGCCAGGGGGGTGAAGGAAAAGATATATAAGGCTTGGCAGGGACTTGGAGGATGGAGTATAAGCATGGCAGGGGACATCTTCCAACTGAAAAGAGGAAGCTTAAACCTAAGGGGACCAGTAGCCTATCAGGTCCCTGATGGCATCTCCACAGCATCCATCATACTGCCTCTTGGCAGGGTATTGACATCTCTGGCCTGGACTATGGTCTATGAGTTTGTGGCTTTGCCCTCAACATAGCACCCTCTGTTGGATCTTCCTAAAATGCTTGCCTAAAGCTCCCCATTATAGCACACATTGAACTTGATGGTGTTTAAAAAAAAGAGGATGCTAAGTTGCTTGGGTAGGGTAGAGGGCATGGACCTGGAGGAGTTGAAGGAGGGGTGAATATGATCAAAATACAATGTATGAAATTCTCAAGCAATTAATAAAGATTTTTTTTGAGCCGGGCAGTGGTGGCGCACGCACCACTCAGGAGGCAGAGGCAGGCGGATCTCTGTGAGTT